ATCAATTACCCCCCCCCCTCTTCCCAGAATTGTTGATATGTGTATTATATTTACATTCTGTTATTTAAAAACGTAACTATATTACTAATTATAAAATATTTTGTCATGTTATCTTTAAACAATTTTAACTATGGGAAACTACGTGATGCCTAGGTTAAAATAAAATAAATGTGTATGTAAATTAAATTAAGGACATATTTATTGCACACTTTAAGCACTTTATATAGGTATGCATAATACATAATATAATTATTATACATTATATTATATGTTTGCATTAAAAATAATATACTGTGTGGCTATTATGCAAACATCCGTTGTAGCCTTGTAGGTATGTTTCATTTTGAAGACCTGTTTATAACTATTTGGAATTTCTTAGATGTTATTTATTGGCACGCAAAATTTTAAATTTCTCTCTACCTACGAGTCACTGTATATATCTACTAACTACATTTCCCTCTCTATATAGGAACTACTGACTTTAGGTTTCGCCATGTTGTGTAATATAAAATATTATAGGCATACGGGTTGACAGCACTGAAATATAAAAAAATAAAATAAAATACATAGAAGTCAATATAAAGGGAGAAGTAACTGCCTGTTTACAGTATCTCTGGTGATTATATAAATCTCGGGATAAAAATTTGAAAGGTAAATAGGTATATCATGTGAAACTGGGAACCAAACATTTGGTAGGTGATAAATAAGTATTTATATATATAATGAAGACCGGCGAGGATATATWGTACTCAAAGGCGCCCACAGAAATATAAACTAGAGAGCGAAAGTCAAAAATCTCTAATAACACAATTTTTTTAGTTTTCACATGTGATAAATAAATAAATATTAACCAAAACAGAAGAGGTACTCCTCACATCACCCCCTGAAGACGACAATGATTGTACTATATGCTATCTTATAACTTAAAAGTAAAGGGATGGAGATAAATATTTTCGAAAACATTAATTATTGTTTAAGGTACACTTCAAGGAACCTAAAAAGTCAGATAATTATATACAATTATTTCTGATCTTCGATATATTGTATACGAATAAACAAAAATATTACGTATCTTAGGATCTTTTTATATGAATGTGTATATTATTGTTAACACATTTTTAGTGGAAAAGCTTTAATTTTCAATATCTTTTTTGAGACGAAAGTGAATCTAATAGGTAATGTTGGGAGATATAAAATTAAAAATCCTCAGCTATAATTATTTTGCTGAAACCTGGAATTTTTACATTAAATTAGTTTTTGGCGAAATCAACCCATCAAGTATACGAGTATTTTAGTTCAAACACAAATAACCATCGGCACTTGAAATTATCATCAAATGTTTATATTAGAATTTTTCATACATAATTTTTAAAATATTTTGACCTATTGAAACATAAGAATTTTTCGATTTTTTTCAATTATTGTCAATAATAGATTTTTCGTTCAGTTAAAAAGCTTGAATATTTAATAGTTTCTTTATAAGTTTTTTAGATATTTAAAATATTAAATAGCCACAATTCTTTCATAAGACTTGACGATTTTTTTAGTTATTTTGTAGCTAAGGCTTGAAATTTGAATACAAGGATTCTTACAAGTATTTCATAATTCATACTGGAACAGGACAGATTTGAAAGAGGATAGAAAAGACATTTTGCCTCGGTACGACCATAAATGGACACTATGGAGACTTTAAGCCCGCTTTACGAAATCATATTATTATTACTACTATTTTTTTAATAATAATTATCCATCTATTATAATATTATTTAAAATTTTTAATTTATTTAGATAACAAATGGCACTAATAATTGTTAAAAATCTAAAAAGATAAGGTCTATATTCGTTACCATGGATATAGAATAATATGATTGAGAGTAGCAACATGAATGGTTAGACCAGATGTGTTCAAACTGTGCATCATGGCTTCCAGGGTCGACGCGGGAGTAGACGAAGGGAGCAACGCACGCACGCCATGTAATTGAAAACCAATAATAAGTATTTATATATATATATTTTTTTATATAATATATCATATGATAAATAAATAATTAGTATAAATTACAAATATATATAAATTATTATGAACATTGATTTTTTGTCATTTAGAGAGAGGGGGGACCCGTCAACATTTTGTGTGGACATAAAAGAACCGTAGTAGAATGAAAAAGTTTGAACACCTTTGGGTTTAGACAATATAATGATAATAACCATAAGTAATAATAATAAGACAGACTCAGAGTATATACGGTTTACGAAAATCGTGGGAGTTTAATTTTCAACATTTTTGTGATTAGGTATTGAATTTACCTACTAATTAAATTTTATCTAAACCAAAGAACATTTATCAAAAAAATGAACGGCCCCATTTCTAGTTAATCTCATTAAAAACCAAACGAACAATATATATTCTAAGACCTATAGTGGAGTGGTTTACGCAGGATTTTTCAATGAGGCGCTTAAAAATAAATAATTACAAACTGTCAAAATCCGTTAAATTCATAACCTATGTATTATGTGTATACTAAGTTGAATATTGTTATATATTGTATGTATTGAACTTTCTTTAATAATAAACGATGTGGGCTGGAGCCCGGAGTGGAAGTATTGCGAAAGCAGTTCGCGCTCCGGTCCTCGATACCAGGAAAAAAAAAAAGGTTTAACATGTTAACTCGGGCCTAGGAATAACGATGCTTGGATAGACGGATGGTGTTGCTAACATCAGTTCAATTGTTATCATAGATTATAGATTTATATGGACTGTGGCATTATGACTACAACAGCTGACTATAGAATGTTTAAAAATATTATCTATGAACCTTAGGAGTTTAGTCAGTTTAGGACAATATGGTTTGCATTGTTTGCAATAAATAGGTTAACACACGATTTAAGAAACTATATTAAATCGAGGTAAATATAAAAACAAAAAACAATAATACGAGCAATGGGGGGGGGGGGGCTTCAGCCTGTGGATGCCACTACCTATGTGGTACTATGGTATTCAAATTTGGGGCTCAGTCAAACCGTCAAATGTCAGAACAATACAGGCATTCCAGTCTATATGTCTGCGATTATTATCAGGTGCCCCTTGGTTTATCACCAATGATACACTTCATAAATACATCTGCATTCCAACCTTCAAAAATCTTGCTAAGATCACCTACTAAAAATCACACAAAACATACAGTACTCACTCAAGCAACTCTCATCCAAAGAAATTCCAGATAATCCACCCAGGCGCCTGAAAAGGAACTGACTCATATTTGTATTAGTAATATATTTCTAAAAGTGTGTTGTAGAGGAGGCGTGGGGGCGTAGGCACAGCAGATCAATTTACTTTGGATTATTAAAATTAAACCAAATGCCCACCTATGATTCGGGAACAAGATTTAAAAGATGTATAATACGCTGTAGTTGTGTTTTGAAATAATATCTTTTCATAATTTAATATTGTGTGTTATTTTAAATTATAGAAAATGAGTTCACTGCACATTGCAGTGGAACAGTACTCAATATATTATTAGTGCCATAAATTATACTGTCGTAGCTTGCACACTGATCCAGTAAATAATTCGAAATATCGCGCCGGAGCTTATTTCCGTACAAATTGCTCACACTTACACTGCGGTACTATACGTATATAACCTGTGATATTTAAAAACAATATTGTTAATTTATAAATACATAAACGTTTGTAACTAATGTGTTCTGTGTACTATTTAGTCCTATAAAGACATGAAGCATAAATTTTAATATTTATTGTACAATTTTGTATATCATCGGTAATGTATATGAATTATGAACCTACAACTTAATGTTTTAAACTCAAGACTCACAATGCATTCTATAAAATAGAAAAATTGATATACGCAGAAATGTGTACGAAAATTTAATTTACAATATTATATTTAAAAACTTAACATAATATAATAATAAATAAACTAATTATTAAAGTGTTTGAAATTAGTTATAATAAAAAATAACTTGAAACGAAATATTAACCGAATAAATCATGATTCCGTCATTACGAAAAACTGTACTAAAATCCGTTAAGTACTCGAGATATGTCTGTACATACAAAAATCAAGCTCATAAATCACAACATAATGTTATAAATTATAATATTACATTGATTTTTAAACTTATATATTGTAATAATTAAAAATATAAAAATTTATAGATGTATCGAAAGAGATTTACAAAATATACCTACGTCATACTTCGCAATAAACAAGTTTTGGTAATCATTCGTTTTTTCCACCGAAAATAGCTGTGGTCTGTCATGTTAGCCCCACAAACCAAAAAATCTATAGTATTATGATCAGGGCCGCCCTAGGCAAATCTAATTTACGCTTCTCTATGCAATAGTTAATTTTTTGGAGAGAAGCGGGTTGAATAAAATAAGGAAATTCATTTTTATCTATGAACCATTGTTTATTTAAAAAAAATAAAATGTTTTGACTGACTTAAGTTTTCTTTACAAAATATAAAATAATAATAATACAATTAAAATAAATGTTGGGTATGAAATAAAATAAGTAATATTTTTGACCATCGTTATACATCCATTATCGTTATCATAGATCAAAAATATGTACTTAATTTAACATTAAAAAATATATAACTAAAAATTAAAAATATATTAAATGAAATTAATTTTGCGAGCCTTTTCTTGGGCAAAATCAATCAGTAAGCTTTTAGATTCCAGATTTTCCATTACTTCTTATGATTATTGTTCGGTCGTTCAGATAAGTAATTACTGTTAAGTGTTTGATGTCAATTGATTACCTGAATGGTACTCATCTGATACAAATATTGAATATCGGAAATCAGCTAGTGTATCATGAATGGCGATAAAAGCATACGGCTCAACAATGTTAGTAGGCACGTACAGACGTAGGTACAGTTATAGCACTATCTAAATCATATTGACCTACAATAAAAATTCGAGATAAGGGCATAATTATAATCTACGTTTCTTTCGTCCGTTTTTTCTCGTTATTTGAATATTATAATGTGTGATTTCGATCAAACTGTAACAACCAGGACGAGTTCGACGTGTATATGCCGCGTAGTATTAGAATTCTTTAGTGATGTTTAGGTATAAATTATGGCGCAAAACAACGCGTATTCCTACGTATGCCACATGAGTGCAGACCACGTTTAATAATCAAGAGTCATAACCAGTTTCAAACCAACGAGTCGGGTTCACTGGACACTACGTATATATTGTAGTAGGTAGGTACGGTCTAACCACGCTCGTGATACCGGGTAACGCCATTGCGTGCAACATTTCTAAGGTAATATTATACAGCAGACGCTGCATAAGCTATACGTAGTCGTATCATCATCAGCCCGTCGACCGGACGCAGTGGTTTTCGTCACCCGACGACGGACGGCCGATCTGTGTTATTTTTTAATGATAAGTGTCGTGCGTGTATGTGAGTTCACACACTGAAACMGCCAACCGTCTGACGATAACCATTCGTTATTGCCTCCTCCCGCTTCGGATCAAACTGCTGTAGCTGTAAGTACAAAAATTTTCTTTTTTTGATTATTTACTTTTCGCGTAATAGCATTTATACCTATATGATAAGTATGGTATTCATATTATAATAATAATTACACTAAACACGATGAGTACGAGTACTAACCTGGTAAACTGCCAATGAACGCAACGATAAATCACCGACAATACGATTTTCAAATTTTTTTTCCCTTTCTAGTAGAGAGCTATAGATTATTACGAACCTACAATAATATTAAAATGTTATAACATTTTGCGTTGTATGTGTGATTGTGTGAAAATATAAGATATTTTTTAGGTCAACGATTCTTTAGCTGCAGAGTCGTTTCACGTGTTGCTTACACCGTTTACGCAAACTAACCTATAATAATCGCATATATATAAACATATAACATACTAGGTAATAGGTATTATTATTTTATGTCGAAGATGAATACATTTTACTGGGCGTAACAGAAACTGCATACCCCTCCTCATAACGTACTCAACAAGAATAATCATATTGAAAAGTCAAAATCACGTTCCTCTCCCGTCATCCTCGGTCAGGCAATGATTAACATTCTACCGAGTAGAAAATCTTAAAATTACTTCATATTATATAACGTTCACCAATTTTTACATCGTTCGATTTCAGTTGACCGCGAAAATGTATAAGTATCATTAGTTTCAAGTTTCAATAGACTGATAATATGCGACTACTTATAGCTATGTAATATTACTAGGTATATAATGATGTTTCAACTCACGTCAACATCTGCAGTGTCGTAATCAAAATTAAATATGTGGTTGACCTGGTCAACTAGGTATCAATATCGTTAGTAAAATAAGCTTGTATCATGTTCGACTTAATGAATTTGATACACATTACACATACTTAGGTGTACCAATCAGGACAATATTTAAGATTTTACCGCTTATGAGCAATAACATTTAAGCATCCACGACATTGTTTAATATGATGAATTTTTCCAATCTCAGTATTTTTATRCAATATGTATATTATATTTATTATAATTATACAAAATCAAAATAACTGTATTTTGATTAACTTAATGTATTCATAAATTATATAGATATTAACAAACATTTATGGAGCACTGAATTGTATTATTATATATTGATAAATAACAATACTCTTTTGCAGAGTTAAAAATTTAGATACGGTTTTTTGTTATAAAATAATAAAGATTGTATTTTGAATTCTTATATGGTACGAGTTTTGAGATAATAATTATAAATATTTGTAATATCTAATTAATTTAGCATCTATAATTCAAGATCAATAATTTAAAATAACAAACCGTAGCACGCTAATCGATATTTTTCCTCAACTAGAAAACTTTATAAATCATAGATATGTGTTTGTTAATAAGTAACCATGAAAATAAAAACTTTAAAGAAAAATAKACCAAAAACATTTTGTTGTGTACCTATCCAGCATTCTAACCCAAAAACATGATTGTATTAAAAATATCCACTGAACAAAATATTCTGTGAATAAATATTACACAATTTATTATATGATTATTATTAATTTTTTATATTTATTTTCGTACTCGAAAACTTTGATTTACTTTTCTACAGTCGCTGCAATAATATATTTACTCTCCAACGTAATGTACCAGAGTGGGCTTGCCTCCCAAACCACCCCTGAATACAACCCTGGGTGTACCTCTACTTTAACATAAATACATAATTTTGTTTTTAATTGTAATTCTACCTTAACTATTAATTATAATACAATAAATACGCATGACTAATATGGCAATGTTAAAATGTTGATATTCTTCACAATCAATATTGCAATACTTATTGATTGCTACGTGAAACGTCCTCGGTTTGAATTTCAAACATGCATGATGGGTGATTTTTTTCTCAGGACTGGTGCCAGGCAAACTTCAAATAGAAAAAAGACCTATTTCTCTAATTTTTTTATGGCGATAGAAGACCTCCAAGCGTGACGTTTCATAATATCTGTACTYCAGGCACGCCGGCACCTTCAGTAGCACTATCAAATAACTACGGGCAATTAATTAACAAGATAAAATTGTAAAACAAAAAAATATGTATCCTCAACAACATATTCGCAACATAACACCAGATTTAGTTTGATATTGTATACTACATATTAAATCTGGTGTTTTTTCCATTCAAAATTCAAAACTTATTAGTGGCCAGTGGGTATAACTTAATTTATAAAATACAGTTATGAAATTAATATAATTGGAATTCGACTTTTTTGGGTAGAATGATCGAGGGGTTATTAAAATGTACGTAATAAAACCAACTAAACAAACAACCGGTACAAACCATAGTAATTATATATTTTTTAATACAGAATTTAATAACAGCACTAGTAATAGTTACTATAGTAATATTCAAATTCATGATGAAATTTGAAATATTTAAACATTCTAAATTTTAAAAATATAGCCGTAGGGTACACATAACTAAATAACATCCAAAATATTAAAATCTTTACCATTAAATGATAAAAAAAAAAGGCCAAAAGGATATTTCGGTGTATTCCTAATAACATGTTGCATCAGTCGTAATTATATATTTTACTATCTGCTTTAGTACCTACTGGTTAATAAAAATAAATTGACTGCGATAAGCTAACTACAATAATTATAGTTAATTATTAATGATTATCTGCATTAAATTGTATATTTTATATTTGATAACAATATTTAATTATTTTATATATTTATATATTTTATACAGCATAGTTCATTCATTGTATAAACTGCTGGTTAATACGTTTTTTTTTGTATTTATTCAAAATCAATAATTTAATAGTTCAGGCATTAAGGCTAAAACATTTTGTTCTCCATGGTTTATATTATTAAGTATCTATATTATAACATGTATAACCGAATTAGTTGTTCTGCCAACTATTGCGTTATACAAACATGAATACCGACGTATTCTTTTTTATCAATGAACATTGAACACTTTTCAACATATAATTACAATATTATACTATAACAATTACAACGATTCAAAATAAATGTATAATATAGTTGGTAATTGCGCATAATACAGCATTTAATGTATATTATATCTGAATAGTATACGGTATAATATAATATACGCTATTTACATAGTAATAAAGAATAATAGTAAACAATTTCATTTTCTGAGATATACTTCACGTACTTATTCTTCGGGTATTATCAAAAAATATTTTCTGTTGTGACATACGAAAAAAAATATCAAATATTGTGAACAAAAATTATTAGCGAGGCTTGTTTAAGAAAATTTGATTTCAACAYACTATTTTTTGAAGATATAGRTACAACTAGACAATGAAATTATTATTTTGTATAAGGTGGTGCACCACATCGTATTGATTTACAAAATTTCTATTTATGAGTGTATACGTATTATAATATTTCGAGAAATATTGATAAACCCAATAGAAAATGTAAATTCGTCATTTAATACCAGTTTAAGTAGTTGGTATTTAGTATTTAGATATTTTTGTAACTTCATTTAGATAAATTCCATAAGACTTATACATGTGTAAATATAGTGTCAGCCAAGACCCGATCACATTAAAGTTTTCGCTTCACTTAAATACTTTTGTCTTTATTAGATGTATAATATTGTATATTTATTTATTGCGTCAATCATTCCGTTTATTCTTTCACCAAGACTCGAGAGACATAAGTGCATTATTATTTCACATACGACATTCATTTTAATGAGATATTATTATCATATTATAGCATAGTAAAGTTGTCAACCAATCCGGGAAATACACATCAATAATAAGAACTAAACAGGAAAAAATCCTATACCCTTTTTAGTAAACCATAATCATACCGTTATAGTATCTGTTAAAATATTCTCCACCTTAATACCATCATTAATGGCGATACGCTCAACTATTGCTTATTCATAATGCAATATTATGAAATGCAGCGTCCTATAAGCATAAGTTAACAAACAACATATTCGTCAAAAGAAATTCTTATAAATATGTTTAAAATCTTCGCGGATTATTCATGATTAACAACTACACAACGACATAGTTGTATGAATACCATACATTTTAACCTACGATCTGGATTAACAACTACTTAAAATTCAAAATAACTAAACCTAATAAAATTATCTCACTCCATTACAAATCAAACAAAATCGAATACCGTGGTAGAATCAAATCACGTTTACCTCGAAACATTCCATCGAATTCTTAAAGTGGCCTGTATTGATTAACGGAATAATCATTTTAATTTTTTTTTTTTTTTAAGCACTATAAGCCTTATAATATACTTGCTTGTAGCTTAGATAATAAATTGTGAAATAAAAATTAAAACATTATTTTATTAAAAACCAGCCGAACTCAATATCATAGGGTAAGGGGTCATGTGTTCGAACGTCAAGTGTACCAAAGATTAACTGTTCGAAAGATTAAATGTTTGAAAGGTCGTATGTATGAAATTAGGGAGATGGTAAACTGCGGAAAAATTAACCTTTATCTAAAAGTCGATATATATATATATATTATAAAAACTACAAACGTTTTGATAATGAAATTAAGCTACTGATAAAATACAGGGTGCGGCAGAGCCGACTGACGAGTTTTGAAGGGTTATAAAAAACGAACAGTAAAA